AGCAGGTCTCGGTGGCCAATGACCACAAGTCTTTTCCCTTTTTTCTCACAAAATAGCTTAAGGTTCCAATGTTCTCCTGTAAAGGTTCTAGGAAGGGGAGTGTCTTTCAGATAAGTTGTTAGGGCAGCAGGGAAAAGACAGAGCGAGTGACCATGGTTCCTACCCTTGCCCCAGGAATAGCACTTCCCTTCCCAAGAACCCCTGGGTGAGGCAGGGTAATGGGTCCTAAACTTCAGTTCAGACCCCAGGGCCCTCCACCCGAAGTAGAGATGCAGGGATGTCTCTGAACAGGAGTCCACGGAGGGTCTACCACTGAGCCACCACAGATGCCAGAGGAGCCAAGATAGGAAGGGAGAACAGGTTAGTCATGGATGACCTTAGCTCTGATCCCAAGCCATGCTGGTACTTCCTTGGGCACCTCTTTAGCACAGCTACCAGTCCTCACTCCAACTTTAGGAGGTGTATTCACCACTCCTGTCATGCAAATATTTAGAGACACATTAATAGACAAGCTCTCTTGGCCTAAGCATGGAGAGTATACCATAAAGCAGACCAATTGCCATGGCTGGAAAGACCACCACAGTGGACAAGGAAGACAAGGCCCAGAAGGTAGATGAAGAGAAGTCCAAGCTGAGTCAAACAAGTGCACAGATCCTGAGGTAGGGAAAGTCTTGCTGGGTATAAAACCCACCAGGCTACTTAGGAGAGGAAGACTATGATGCAGCTGATGAGGAAGCAGGGCCAGCTGCCCAGTAGTCGGTATGAGATAAGCAATTTGGATTTTCCTCCAAGAGCAACTGGAAGCCACTACAGGGCTGGATCAGGTGAGAGATGTAGTCTGATTTATATTTTTAGAGGACCCTTCTGGCTGCTACGTGAATCTTGAATTACAGGTTAGGGTTGGGCCAGAGACCTTGGAAGAGGCTGTTGCTGCCATTTGAATGAGAGATGGCATGGCTTGGACTTCAGAGTAGTGACTGAAGTAGACAAGTGGGACCATTTGGGCTGTGTTTGGAGGGAGGCCCAGGTGCCTGCCAGTCCCTTCTCTCTCTTCCCCTGCTGGACAGCTGCAGCCTACAGGGTGCTGCTCAGGGGACTCTCCTTCATAGCCTAGGCTGAGTCCAGCTCTGCCCAGGACATGGCCATCTGGGCCCAGCAGGGGTTGGGTTTGGGCTTATTCTTCTGTCTGTGCTCAGCTGGGCAATCCCAGGGGCAGAGCCTGTCCTAGTCTGTCTGGGTGCCTAATATCCAGTATCGATATCCAGTATCCAGCCTGGTACCACACTCCTCCCTAACAGGCTTCACTCCAACCAGGGCTGGTGCTCAACCATCACTAACCACCACCGCCACCACCAGGCCCCTGTGCTTGCTCTCTGGTGTGTGGAGGGCTGGGCAGACTCCTCCACAGACTCATCTCTGCAGAGCCTCCCCGGACAGGCTGGCCACATGTCAGCAGCACTTCCTTCCTCTGCTCACATCTTGCTACCCCAGGGCTCCTTCACATAGCCCTCACCTGGACCTCGAACATGGACCCAGAGAAGGCGGGCCCGATGGTTAGGGCCCTGAGCATGAGTGCACTGCCTTCACCGGGCTGCTCCACACTGGCACCTGACCCTTGGCTTGGGGCATGCCCAGGTACCAGGAAGGCCATGTAGATCAGGAATGGGAACCATGGTCCCAAGTCCTGGCAACAGCCAAAAGCATGGAGCTTTAAAAAAAATTTTAAAAATTAAAAAAAAAAAAGACATATAATTCAAGTACCATGAAATACACTATTTTAGACCATACAATTCAGTGGCTTTTAGTATATTCACAAGGCTGTGTACCTGCCACCACTGCATAATTCCAGAATGTTTTCATCACCCCAAAAAAGCAACCCCATACCCATCAGCAGTCACTCTAATTTTCCCTTCCCTAAGCCCCTGACAACCACTAACCTACTCTCTGTTTCTATGGATTTGTCTATTCGGGACATTTCATCTCAATGGCAAGAAGCTCAGCATACCATGCCACAGACCCCAAGTGGAGCCCACAGAAGAAGCCAGAGAACAACACTGCCTCATGTCTCTTTTGGATATGATCAGACCAATAGTCCTGCACACCCAAGAGCCTGAGTTTGTCTAAGAAATGAGGCCTTACTCATCCCAGAGTCCCCCCAAAGTCCCTCTAGAACCTCACTACCCCCTCTCTACCCTACCCCATCCCAGGTCTCAGAGTAGCAAAGAAAAAACAAAACAAAAACAAGCATTGATTACTGGCCTAGGCCCGTAACTTCCTGCAAGCCTACCTTAGATGCCGGACAAACACCAGTCATGAAATAAACTTTGACCTAATCCCCACCCCTCCCCAAAAAGCACAAAGCTTCAAAGAAGCCAAATACCAAAAAGAAGTAGCCTTCTTTAGCTCTCTCCCTGCCCCTTGGCTGTGAGGTGGCCACTTAGTCCACTGCTCCTGGCAAGGCATGAGTCTGCCTGTTCTGTGGTCTCTAGCGTGGTAGTCACTTGGGCATCCCACCCACACGTGAACAGAGGAGCTCCCAGTGTGGGTTTCCCAGCTGTCTAGGGAGGTCCAGCAGCTGGCCTGGAGCATCTCAGCACAACTATGACCACGTGGATGGCCTTAGAGACGGCTGGGCCAAAGGCTGGGAATCACGACTGTGTCCTAAAGGAGGGCTCAGGAAAGGACCAGCTTTCGAAAAGACCTCCAAAGGCAGTTTTTCCTCATGGCTCTTACGAGGGACTCCCAACCTGCTGTAAGAGGGTCTTTCCTGGTTCTGGACACATGAACCTTAAATCGGATGATAAATGTGCTCTCAACACCTGGGATTGGTCCACTTTGCTCTGTATACCTATCCATATTATAGATGTCCACACACAGCTCTCTGGGTAATGCAAGCAGCTCTTACTTGCCATGTGTTCATCACTGTCGGGTTTGCTGAAAAGGGGCTCCCTGACATCCACGTACATCTCCCTCACCCAGTGTCATTCCACAGTAGGCCTCTGCCTCTGCACTTGTCCCCAGCCCACACAGCAGCTGAGGCCAGGGCACAGAGCCTGTCCTCCTCCTCTTCCCCCTGTATTCTCAGAAGCCAGGCAGTAAGAGCTGCAGCTGAGTGAGAAGACTGCAAGGGGATCTGTACCCATGTGCAGCAAAGAAATGCATCTACTATGAGAAAGACCCCAGGCTGAAAAATAAATGACCCGGGCCAGGCAGGTGGTGTTGTGTTCCCCACCCCTCCTTCAATCTTGACTGTTGGAGTCTACCGTCCGCCTACTCCAACTAGCACAAGCCAAAGGACACCAAATGGTCCCATCACCTACACTGTCACAGCAGAACCACATCCTCTCCCACCACTGTCCATGCCATGCGAGGGACTCGGAGCTGCTTCTCCCTGTGTTGGAGACCCAGGAGTCTGAAGCAGAGCCTGCCTTGCCAGGAACATTCTTGGGCCTAGGCCTTGGGTCTAGTCATGGTTACCAGCACCTGGCCTGCTAACTTGCCTACTGGTGATTTGGCAGTGTGTTGTGTCAACCTGGCCCCACATATAAGGGTTTGCATCTTTTTTTTTTTTTAAGTTCTTTTTTTTTTATCATTTTTAATTTGATTAGAGAGAGACAGAGGGGTAGGGAAAAAAAAAGTCAGGAAGGCACCAGGTCTGGGACTCAAACCACAGTCAGCCATGTGGGAGTCCAGCACCTTTAACCACCATGCCACCTGCCAGCCCCAGGGTTTACATCTTGTAGGGGATCCAGAAAGCATCCTTGTTGGGCATCTGCTCATAGAGGCAGGAGGGCTCTGGGGAGAGTCGCTCTGTCAGGTGGCAGGGTCGGGGGCAAGTCTCCCACACAAGCCTGGTAAGAAGTAAACTACGTCTCATATCACGTTATCCCAGGGCAGGAAGCCCGACAGACAGAATGCTGGGCCAACACGCTCATTTGCCAGAGGAGGAAACGTGTCCGAAGGGCGAAGAGTACATTTTAGAGTTGCCATCTACCTGGTTTCCCACCTTGGGCTTCTGGAGAGAAGATGAGGGTATCTGTCCTCTTACCTCCCACCGCTCAGGCATGAACCCCCTTCATGCTCCTGATCCGAATATGCCTAGTAGTCACTCTCTCCTTCCTCCAGGTGACCCCTCTACACACACACACACACACACACACACACACGAGCCTCTCGGGCTGCTGTCTACACCCAACACCCACTCACCAGTGTCCGCCAAACTTCCGCAGACCTCCACTCGCCAACTTGGGCCAGTGAGGACAGCCTTAAATGCTAATATGAATGTTTTTTTAAAAATGCAGTTTGTGCTGCCCCAAAGCACTCAGAATGGACACGTCGTCCTTTAGGTCATCAGCACCAACGGGTACCAAACCATGGTCTGTAATGATCCTAAAATCTCTCAGAATCATTGCTACTAACAAAGATTTAAACCACAAAAATCCTTAAACTGGTCCCTCCTGACACCACCAACCACTTCTGCAAACCCCTCCTGAGGCATGTGAGATGGAGCCACTAAGAACCACTTTCCACACACGATGTTCAGGGTCCTTCTTTGGCAAGGACACACTCATGCCAACAAGGACACCCGAGTAGGCCATGTTTCTCCCACACCACCGGGAGACCTGAACAGCCAGCATTCCCACCCACTCCTGCAGGCACTGCAGCTCAGGTGGTCCAGGAAGAAAGCTAACTGCAAAGCTCTGACAGCACACCACCCTCAGGAGGGCAGCGGTGGTCTCAGCCAAGAAGACTCCACCCTAGCATCACTCAACACCAGGACAAGGCCCGCACCTACCTGTGAACAGGCTGAGAAGATAAAAGCCAACGGCTAGAGGGCAGGGGTGGGTGGGGGTGCCCAGGGCCGACTCTCCTTCCTTGAGCAAAGTTCTCCCTTTGGTTCAGACCCCAGTGGGAGTGTATGGGACCAAAGATGAGCACTTAATTCTCAGCTATTGATTTCCTTCCAGGCAAAAGTGACTTCTTGTCCACACCTCACCTACCTGGTCAAGAAGGCAGCAGGCACGGGGTGGGCCCTGGCTGCTGGGGCCACTTACCAGCGGGGGCTGCGGCTGGGGGTGCTGCCCTGCTCCAGAGGGGGGCGGGTAGTGCATGAGCAGATTGAAAGCGGAGTAGACGGTCTCTTTGTACATGCCGCTGGCGCACTCCGGGGCCTTCAGGCCTGGAAAAACCACAGCTGGGTCAGACACACCAGGCCGAGCGGCCGCTCAGGCTAGAAGCTGTCTGCTCTTGAGAGAGAAAATAAGTATTGCCATGGGTCCCCTTCCAGTTGGTGACTTAAGAAGGAACGGGCTGGGGGTGTCTGCAGTGCCTAGTTTGGAGGCAAGGACCGCCCGTCCAGGCCTCCCTCCAGCAGCCCCTACCTGCCCCCCACCCGCCCTCCAACAGGAGCCTTAGCCAAGGCTTTCTTCTCAGGAGCGGGGATTAGTCAGTCACCTGGGCAGGAGGGGTGGCGGAGATGGCGGGGGTCTGTTTACTCCTATAAAGGTCAGGGCACCGGAAGTGACTCGAGCCAGGCGGCGCCCGGGAAACCCGCCCCCCACTCCCCCACCCCCCAGGGTACTACCGCCTCCTAGAGCAGCAGTTGGGGTAGGCACTCCCTTGGCTCCCTGCTGTCCTTGGCGTCCCCTCTCCCCCCAAGGCCGGGGCCTTAGCGCGAGGGGAGCTGAGTGGCACAGAAACTCACCATCCTCCAGAGACTCTGGAAGTTTGTCCGGGAAAAGTCTCTGCGAAGTGTGCTCCCTCCCGAGGGCCTGGAGGGAGAACCAGAGGGGCCGTGAGGGGAGGTGGGAAAGATGGGGGCTCAGGAGCCTGGGGACCGGGGCACGAGGGCTGGGAGGGCTGGAGACCCCGAGGGCCGGGGTAGCAGGGACAGGAGGACCGGGACAGCAGGAGCCAGCTCTGCGGGCAGCGGAGCAAGGCGATCGCGGGGGAAGGGCGAGTTCGAGCCGCCTCTCACCTCGGCCCCGACCTCGGTCTCACTGCGGGCGCCGGCGCCCGGCCCTGGGACCCCCGAGCCACCGGCCACGCCCTCCGACTCGTTCACGAGCGACGACTTGAGTTCGGCCAGGTCGCGCTCGGGGCCCGCTGCGCTGTCGCGGCACTTGTCGTCCTGTTCCTCGCCCTCGTCCTGGAAGGCCAGCAGCTCATCCGGTGCGCCCAGGTCGTCGCCGCCGCCCGCGCCGCCCCCGCCCGAGTCCAGCTGCGGCATGGTGCGCTCAGCCCGCCTGGGAGCCGAGCGCCGGGAGTGCGGGGTGCCGAGAGTGCGGGGCGCGGAGCCCGCCCGGGGAGCGGGGA